TATTATTATCAGTATCAGTATCAGTATCAATATCAGTATCATTATCATTATCATCATTATACTACAGACTAGTTATGCAACACATTTGAGTGGTATGCTGTGGAATACTCCACATGTCACTTGAGTTTTCTTGGCATACACATCAGCCTTTATAACTATTTTGTACTACGCGACAGAAAATAGAGTGGCCAACACATTTGCATGGTGCATGATGGGAAGGCAGGATTTAATACTGTCCAAATTGGAATATCAACCACTTTCCTGCGTTCTGATTGGCTGTCAGTATTTTCTGTGGCATTGGTACAAAGTGTAATATATACCTAAATGTATGTCATGTACTAGTGTCTTTATGACAGCTTATGCATTATGGTATACACATTAGTTCCAAGTTTGTAGGTCTATAATATTGTAGCCTACAAGCAGCCTCATCACAAGGAAAGAAAGGAGGCACAGGCCTGCTCACAGGCTAATATAATAATTAATTGATCTCACATCAGCTTGTGTACATGGACCAATTGCTCAAGCACTTTTCACAAATTTGACCTCAGCACAAAATTGAACTGGCAATAGAACAATCTGATTGGTTGATAAGGTAAGGTACGGTAAATTCATTTTGAGTCGTAAATGTGGGGAGTGGTTGCCCAATCTCCCGAGCCAGGGGCTCATGACAAAAATGCACGACTATTTACCATAATGTTACTACTTACAATTTCTATATTTGCTAAGATAGTTTCAGAATTAAAATGATGTTTAAGTTATTGGCCCTTTAGTCCTGTAATAAAAGCAAATTAATTATAATAATTGTTAGTAGTTATGTACCTGCATAGTACTCATCATGTTGTGAGGCTTCCTTTGCCATTTCATCAGCAGATGACCAATTTTCTTTATGGAAAAGACTACTTGAAATCACTTTCAAACCAGTCATTGCTGCTACCCTCATCATGACCTTTGTCACTAAAAGGTATTCATGAAAATAAATTAAACATGTCTGAGAATGTTCATGAATTGCTAATAATCACTAATAAAAAAATGTTCACCAGATAGAAACCCCTGAAGGATTGAACTTAATTATTACATAAACACCAATGAAATACCAGGTGATGTTTTGCACGAAATCATGATATCTTCTCATGTGAAAATAACATGATTGTTATCTTCACATGTAGAAAGATCACCTTTCACAACAAAAGATAAATTGTTTGGTATCTCATTGGTGTTTATATTTATATAAAGAGAACATTACATGTCCACTTAGAGATACAAAAAATCTCTTCTCATGTATTTTTCAACACTGACACACTCATTCCTCTGCATGGCCACATAATATCCTCTGTTTCTCACAAATTTGATCAATATCATAGAAAGGTTTTCCTCATATATATGTCGTCGGCACAAATTATGCCAACATTTTCTGATTTCTCTTGATGTTTCAATAAGTTTTAGAAATGCCTTACTGGATTAAATTCAGTTCTCAAGAACACTTAAAGAAGAAAAAAAACTGTTAATCAACTTAATAAAACCTCAATTATTTTTCCATGCACTGAGGAGTGCACAAGCACAACTGCAAGTTTCAAAAAACAATTCAGTCCACACAATATTGCTTAAAAGCATAAAGTTTAATACTGTTTTGAGAGACAATTGGAAATCAAAAGAAATCTACTAATGAAACAATGCGATTATTCTCTCTCGATTTCTATGAGGTGATAGGGCCAGGGGGGTTCTCTCCTATATGGGTTGTATAGGTATGTGCAGCCGCAAATGGTATGGTTTTGTAGCTGTTTTGGTCAGAAATAGGGTATCAATTTTGGCCATTGTGGTCTCAAATAGGGTATGGTTTTTGCACTCTTGAGTCTTAAATTGAGCATGTTTTTTAGATGTAACTACTTTTTCATCATTATAAATATGACCATCAACAAAAGCCCTCAACAATGCCTTTAGCATTTGTCTCTATATCATAAAGCATGTCTGAAATGGGGTATCGATTTAAGGTCATTCCCCAGTATTGCATTGCACATCCTTACTGCACACAATTTATGGCGTCATTAGCGTGCATTCGTGCACGCGCACATTGAAAACATGGCAGATTTGCCTTGATTATGAGTTCTGTCAGTTGAAAAATGGCTATAGCTCACTAATGAGCTCGGGCACCCCAAAATTTTTTCCAGTCATTTCAATCAACCAATCATTAGCTTTGCGTGAGAAAAGATTGATCTGATTTCTATTGTTGAAAATTGAATAAATAAGGAAAATAGCAGCTGCACTGTAGTCTTTTCTATTTTGCAGTTTGATAGCCGTGGCAAGCAATT